GGCCTAGACCCTTCTTCAGAAAAAGGGTCTAGGCCCGAAACGTCAGCCTTCCTGCTCCTCTGATGCTGCTTGGCCTGCTGTGTTCATCCAGCTGTACACTTTGTTATCTCCTATTTTGTGGAACCCACTGGTTTAAGTTGGGTTCTTGGTGGGGAGCACAGTAATTATGTGGAATAAGCTTTCAAATCTTGTGAAAAACGGACACTTTTAGGGAAAGTATTTTATTATAATCCTTTTCTTACTAATTACTGAGCATTGATTTGGCCATGCTTTGGCAAATCGAGCTGGTGAAAGAGTGTGCAACATACTAAGCCTCCTGACATCCCACCAATTACATTAGGCTTCTATTCTTGAACCACATTTGCACAAAACTCCTGTCTATTTCTGGAAGCAATCTGAGCTACTAATTTCATTAACTTAACCCAAGTTGCAGTGACTGATGGGCACCAAAACGGCATTATGTTTTCCTGCCATTTTCCATCATTTCATTCCCGCCTGGTGAGATAAACTGTAATGCATCCTGTTGTCGTCGGAGACTTACAAATATTTCCCAAGATGATCAAGAAATCAGAAGGAATTGATTTGAGTAATAATGATTGCATAACATTTATCACTGGGTTGAAATAACAAGAAAATTTAAAAATAAAAATATGATCTTTGATATTTTGGAAACAAATGTTGGTTTTTACTAATTCAAAAGGGGAGGTAGATGTTGTTGATTTTCATTTTTTCAGCCAGATAACTGCTAACTCCTGAACTGATGTTTGTTTTCAGGGTTATGTCATCCCTCAAACAAAGCTAGGCCAATCTTCCTCTTCATTTAAATCCTTGTGCACTTGTCTGTACAGTGCAAGTGCATGTATTCTGCATTGTGAACAAAGACTCGCTGCACTATTGAAGATCAAGTATCTTTTGAAATGTGCACATTCATTAACTACTTTACGACTAGAGTTAGCTTTAAATTCTTTAGCTTTTACTTGGACTTGTAAATGGTTATTTTCCATGTTGTTAATTTTGCATTTCTTTCAATTTTTAGTACAACAAATTCAAGTGTAGGATTCTAAATGAGAAAGTGAATACTCCTACTACAACAGTGTATAGGTAAGGAAACCAAGCCATTGCCTTGGAAGGTTTTGTCTTTGAAGGTTTTGGAAGGTTTTTGATAAAATTAAGATTTCTTTGGTTCGGTCTATTCCTAAAGTAATTTGTTTCTGGGCATATAAATTACAATAAATATAAATAAGCATCAATATTAAGAGATGTCTGTTTGGTAGTTTATTTGCTGAAAGATGATTATAGGAATTAAGTGAGGCAGTGGGTTAGGCTACCGGTTCAATCCTGAGACGACATTTCTGCCACAGTTGATGGATCACAAGTATCCTGTCTTGCTGTAAATCATGACGTGGAGAGCATTATTTAGTAATAAAGAGTCAATCGCTCTCATTGGTAATAGGATGTATTGTATTGGAAACGGAATATAATGACTCCACTGTCAACAGAAGTTCTGAAGCTTTCAACTAAAGCACAATATTGGGGCATATCTAATGTTTGTTTGATTGTTCTGAGAATGTTTGGTACTGATTAAACTCTCTGATTTGACTCTGTCCAATTTCTAAATAAATTGTTTGAATTTAAAGTGGTGACAACACATATTTAGCTACTGATCTTCTACTAATGACTAACATTTAACTTTTCCTGAATGTAAAAGTTTGTACTTTTGTTATTTTGATAGTTACGTGAGATATATTATTAAATAATTTGCTATGATGAGAATTCGATTTTCTTTCCTTTAAATCTTCTATGCTTTGTTTTCAGGTGTGGACCCTTGATTGACTTGTGTAGAGGACCTCATGTCAGACACACTGGAAAAATTAAGGCTCTGAAAATTCACAAAGTAAGTGTTTTACACCCTATTGTGTTCCAGTTCCTCAAAATAGTAATTTCATTCTACTCCTTTTGTGAGAAAATTCTACTAAAACAAGTAAAGATGTTCAGGCTTTTATGAAGAGTATTAACAATTTGGTTTTGCCATTTGCATTTAATATGCCTGATAGTTGTCACTTCTGTTCATCATAAGAACAATTAATCTAATTTGGAATTGCAAAGGTTTTTTTTAAATCTTTTTTGTGATTTAGTTTAAGTGCAAAGTTTATAGGGTTATGTTTTAAGACTGCCTGGTTAAAGGGGTCATATGATCTACTCTCTATCCTGCACAACAGGTCAAGACAGGACTCGGTACCTATGGGGACAGCAGGGCTGAGATTGATGCACTTGGAAAGTGTGAGATTTTCACATTCATACACAAGGTTATCTCTGATAACTTTGGGTAGACTGTTAGTCTCCAAGTCTCCGAGAGATTTTTGGAATGTTATGTTTTGTAAAACAGTTATACTTTAAAATGACTGTTTGTTTCCTTCCAAGATAGCATGAAGATGTGATGTTTAGAAGATGGCTAATTAGCATTTCTACCTGGATACAAGCTCCATGTGATTCATGTGCAATAGGGATGGATTTTGAGAGGGGAAACCTACACAACAAGCCATTGGAATATTGCATTACATTTGTTTCTTAAAATATCCGTCATTCTCTCAGATGTCTTAGTGTACAAACATGTGTACTGGGAGAGAGAACAGACAGAGGCAGCCAGTCTGTATTGAGAATGTGGGTAAGAACTCATGTTGGATTGAAGAAGTCAAGTTTGTGAGGACTTAAAAGTGGCTGGGTGATTCTTCTAGCTTTAACCAAAGGGAAAGATCTCCAACGTAACCCTCATTGTGAAGGTCAGTTCAAGGATTCGGAATTTTGCAGCTGAAAAAGGAAAAAAGAAGCAAGACATTGAAAGTGGAGAATAACTTTAGACTGTTCCCTGGAGAAAGAAGTCTTTATTTTAGGGATGTAGTAAAGTATTAACGGTGGTGGCAGCGGATTCGGGGAGGTGGCGGGGGCGGTATTGCTGGTGCGGGGGCAGGGTGGATTTTTAGAAGTTAAGCTTGAGTTGGGGTGGGTGGCTTTTCTGTATTTCCAAGTATAAATTACCTACTGAGTAGCGTTTAGACAACGCTGCTTTTTGTTTGTTTATTTGCAGTAAAACTCTTAGAACTTTTTAATTCGTAGTCTAGAATTCAGATATCTTTTGAAAAGTTGTCGCTCTTAACTGCATGGTAACATTTGATCTTTGCATTTACAGAATTCTTCCACTTACTGGGAAGGCAAGTCTGATATGGAGACGCTACAGAGGATTTATGGAATTTCTTTTCCAGATACAAAAATGTTGAAAGAATGGGAAAGGTTTCAGGAAGAGGCCAAAAACAGAGATCATAGAAAACTGGGGAGGGTTAGTCTTGAATAATTGTTACAGTGAAGAATCTTGACTATTGTAGTTGTTGAAAAAACAACAGTTAACTAATTTGAAGCCTGTTACTGAGATTATTTCATATGATGTTCTGTATTTTGCCCTTTTAACTTTTATCCTTTAATATTGCTTAAAAACCACAGCAGTAAGTGAGGTTATTAAATACATTTTAGCTGCAATGGTGATGCTTTTCTCCAAGTAATAATACTGAATGTTTGCATCTTTAGGAGCAAGAGTTGTTTTTCTTCCATGAACTCAGCCCAGGAAGCTGTTTTTTCCTGCCTAAGGGAGCTTATATATACAGTGAGCTCATTACATTCATTAGGGTAAGAACTATTCAATCAAGGTTTTAATTCCGATTTATGTATCAAAATTAATTAAATTTCTTGTGAAGGATTCGCAAAATATTGCCAATTTAGGTTGTTTGCTATATGTACTGAAGGACGAGGGAAAGAGCTATGAAGGAATGTAGTGGGCGTAGAAAAGGAAAATGTGAAATTGCCTAACTGTAATTAGTTTATCTTTGACTATATGGATAGTGTAAGTTGTTGAACATAGATCTCACCATACCATAATGGAAAATTAATATCCAACAGACAGACAGCCATCTCCAAACAGGTTTGCAGCTCATTAGGAAATGGTAAAGAAGTTTAATATGCTTTCTACCACTGAAGGGTGCAGGAAGATGCATCAGTGATGTAAGTTTTTTTAATGAATGAAATGCAAAGTGCTTATTAATATAGTAAACATTTTAAATGTTTTTAAATTTTGCTTTAATTTCTAATGTTGGAAAAGTGCAAGCGATCCCTCTCAATGTTATTATATCATAGTGACCCCAGCTAATGTTGGTATATCATTGGTATTTATGTAGATCATGATCTGTATATTCACTAGCATGAGTGACTGAAGGGGCAAATTACAATTTGTTGATTATTTGCGTACTTTCTACAAGTTTTGCTATTTTTAGACCGATTTATCTGTATTAGCGTATTTTACTGGAAAAACATGATTCTTCTCTCTGATTTTAGTTCTGTTTCCTTGAGCTCTCCCTTCGTAGATGGAATCAACTATTAGTATTTGTAGGTATTCAACTTGTAAGAAACAAGCAAAACATATTCCGCACGACACACTCCCAACTGAAAAGTGTCCAGTTTCCGCTGATGCCTCTGTAGGTCTTCTGATTACAATCTGCTATGTAATTTGAGGTTTAGGTGTAAAATCATTATTTTTCAATGTAGATTTATAACTTTGATCACTGTATTGATAAATTTCTCTGTTTATTTTAGAGTGAGTACAACAAAAGAGGCTTTACAGAGGTGGTGTCTCCCAATATTTACAACCACAAACTGTGGCAAACATCAGGACACTGGCAGCACTACAGTGAGAATATGTTTTCTTTTGAAGTGGAGAAGGAAATCTTTGCCCTAAAACCTATGAATTGTCCAGGTCACTGGTAAGTCATTGAATTCCTGAAACTTTAAACTTTTCTGCTTTTTTTCTGCTTTCTAAGTGCATTTCTGAGACCCTTGTAAGATAGGTCTGTAATTTTGTACTACAGTCACCGGACGACCCATAGGACTGCCCCTCTCTGATTAGAGAGAGACAACTGATGGTGAGTTTAACCTGAGGATACCATGTCAGTTGAACGTGGAGTTGTGTTTCAGCACTTGAGAATGTCTTTAGCATTCTTTTGCACAATTTTCCTCCAAGCTTCATTTTCATTTGATTTTCTTTCCATGCAGTCTTTGTGGAGAGGAAAGAAGAACAATCTAATGAATAATTACAGATAACAATGAATAATAATTCATGCACCATGTTTCAAATATGGAGTTTAGACTGGTGCCACGTCTCTGACAAGAACCGCAAGGCTCTGACCAAGAACCGCAAGGCTCTAACCTGTTGAGTTTTTCAGATTTCGAATGCAGGAAATATATTTTATCTCTTTTCAAAAAAAGTATTAATAGACTTAAATTCAGTATCCAGTATTCCATATATACTCCATCTCCCTATTGCTGATCATTGCTTTTCTTCTGTCTAATGTTATCTAGTTTTCCATTCCTTACCACTTTCTTGTCTGTTTTCAAAACAGCCTACGGAACCATTGCTTTGAGTCTGTTTTTGGCCATTGCCCTGACTTCTCCAATATTCCGTTCCCATTGTTTTTCTTTGACTGTTAATTTTGAACCGGTAGTGACCAATTGCACTTGTATCAGTGCCAAATTTCCTAAAGAATCTGGCTATCTTTATCTCTCCCTGGTGTGGGAGGAAGATGTGTAGTGTATACTGACCAATTGAAGATTGATTCTGATGTTTGGGGTTTGGTATTTTAATAAAACTTCATGGAATTTGAAGTAAAACGTAATTTTTGTTCTTTTAAATGAAAAACGCTTTCACAATTTGTCTTTTTTAGTCTCATGTTTGATCATCGGCCACGGTCCTGGAGGGAACTGCCATTGCGATATGCTGACTTTGGAGTGCTTCATCGTAATGAGCTGTCTGGAGCACTGACTGGCCTGACTCGGGTCCGCAGATTCCAACAAGATGATGCTCACATTTTCTGTACCATGGAGCAGGTATACTCATCTTATACCGGGCATTGCTAAGACTGCATCTGGAATACTGTGTACAGTACTGGTTACTGTACTTGCAGAAGGATGTTAGTGCATTGGAAGTGGTTCAGAGCTTTCCTTGACTAATACCTGGAAAGAGCAGATTGCTTTACAAGGAAAAGCTAGGCTTGTATCCTCTGGAGTTTAGGGGAGAGAGAGCGAGGTGACTTAATTGAAGCAGGTGGATGTGGGAAGGATGTTTCCTGGGGGCCCTCTCATGACTGCACTGGGTTCAAGTCCCACCTGCTCCAGAGATGTGTAATAACATCTCTGAATCAGCTTGATTAGAAAATAGTTTAATTAAAAAAAAGGATATTTCCTCTGGTGGAAAAATCTAGAACAAGAAGTCATATTTTAAATAAAAGGAGTCAACCATTTATGACAGAGATGAGGTTTTTTTCCCTCAAAGGGTTGAGAGTCTTTCAAATTCCCTTCCTCAAAATGCAGTAGATACAGAATTTTTAAATATATTTTTTTAAGGCAGTGGTAGATTCTTAATTATCAAAGGGTTGTAACATTATCAGGGAAATGTAGAATTGAAGAGCTGAGATTAAAATCAGATCAGCCATGATCTTATTGAATGGTAGAGCAAGCTCGAATGGCCTACTTGATTCATTCACCTCATTCAGGCTTTTTTGATTCACTCAAGTGGGCTGCTTTGTCATGGATGGTGTCAAGCTATGGAGTGTTGTTTGAGCTGCGCTCATCCAAGGAGTATTCCATTATACTTCTATTTGTGCTTGTAGATGGTGAACAGACTTTAGGGAGTCAGGACGTGAGTAACTTGCTGCAGGATTCCTAGCCTCTGACCTGCTCCTTTAGTCATTATTGAGATGACTGAGCAGAAACTTAACTGGTAAGCCCCAGGTATGGTAGTTAGGTTGTCCGTCTCTTATTGGAGATGGTCATTGCCTGGCATATGTGTGGTGTGAATGTTATATGCCACTCTATTGCCCAGATCTTGTTGCATTTAAACATGAACTGGTTCAGTATGTGAGACATCATGAATAGTGCTGAACATTGTGCAGTCATTGTCAAACACCTCCACTTCTGACCTTATGATGGAGGAAAAGTCATTAATGAAGCATCTGTCCATGGTTGGCCTCGGACATAATCCTGAGGAACTCCTGCGGAGATGTCCTGGAGCCAAAGTGATTGACCTCCAACAGCCACAACCATCTTCCTATGTGCCAGGTATGACTCTAACCAGCAGAGAGTTTCTCCTGCTTCTCCTTGTCTCCAGTTTTGCTAGAGTTCCTTGATGCTACATTTGGTCAAATGTAGCCTTGATGTCAAGAGTAGTCATTCTCACCTCACCTCTGCAATTCAGCACTATTGTCTGCATTTGAACCAAGGCGGCAATGAGGTCAGGAGGTGAGTGGCCCTGGCGGAACCCAAACTGGGTATCACTGAGCAGGTGCTGCTTGATAGCACTGTTGATGACACCTTCCATCACTGTACTGATGATTGAGAGTAGACTGGTGGAGTGGTAATTGGTCAGGTTCGATTTATCCTGCTTCTGGTGTACAGGACACACCTTGGCAATTGTCCACATTGTCAGTATTGTGCCAGAGCTGTAACTGTACTGGAAGAGCTTGACTAGGGGTATGAGAGTTCTGGAGCAGAAGACTTCGGTGCTATTGTCCGAATGATGTCAAGGCCCATAGTCTTTGCGGTATCCAGTGCTTCTAACTATTTCTTGAGATCCCGTGGAGTGAATCAAATTGGCTGAAGTCCGGCATCTGGTGGTTGATGAAATGGATCATCCACTTAGCATTTCTGGCTGAAGATTGTTGTGAATTATTCAATCTGTCTTTTGCAGTGATGTGTTTGGATTTCCCATTATTGAGGATGGGGATATTTTTGGAGTCTCCTTATCCCAGTGAGTTTTTTTTAAATTGTCTACAACTATTTATGCCTCAATGCAATCTTGCCACAAAGCTTAGATCTGATTCGTTAGTTGTGGAATTGTTTAGTTCTGTCAATCTGCTTATGCTGTTTGGCATGCAAGTCATTGTTTGTGGCTTCACCAAGTTGGTACCCTGTATTTATGTATGCCTGGTGCTGCTCTTGGCGTATCTTCCTGCACATTCTCGTTGAGCAAGGGTTAATCATCTTGTTTAACAAAAATGAAGTTGCTGGAAAAGCTCAGTAGGTTTGGCAGCATCTGTGAAGAAAAAAATCAGAGTTAACGTTGATAAGAGTTAACGTTGATAAGAGTTAACGTTGAT